ATCAACCATTAAAGTTAGACACATGGATATCTAGAATATATATATATATATATATATATATATATATATATATATATATATCATTTTTTTTTTTTTTTACAAATTAAAAACATGGGAGACGTGACCAACATGCCGGGTGCAGTTTGTCTAAGGCTAAGGTTCTAAACAATCAAAGTAAAACGCACCTTCAAATAGGGTCGAAAAATGTGGTTTCAATACTGGAAATATTTGTGATAACCTTTAAATATATTTTCATATCTAATTATAAAATTTAAAGCTTAAAAAATAGTGTACATCGAGCATATCTATAAAAACTTAAAAATCTTGAAAATTGACGGTCTAAAAATGAATTACAAGATGCACTATTTCAAAAACTAGAAATCCAATTTTTGTCGTATCCATACATCTTGAGGTCAAGATGATCAATTTCAGGATTTTAAGGCATCAAAACAATCTCTTCTAGTGAAATTTTTGATGTACGCCCCTAATTTGATCGTTTAGTGCGTCACACTTATATAAATTTTTTCCTCTTATATAAGAAATGGGAACGTTATATAATACACATTACTCGTTTTTGTTTCCAATTTTATTTGATGTAAGAACATTTGTCTATCTTATTAGACGATCAGATTTCAGTGCTTAGAAACTCAAAAATTACACTGAATGGCTTAATCATATAGTGATATTATGATTATTTGAAGTTATTCATGTGGTAATTGTGATTTTAAGGTGCTCCGAAAATTTCTTACGAAATAATCCCCAAGGAGCAAGTATCCAACTTGTTCCCACTGGACTATACTACAAGCGATGGGGTTTAAACCTTGAACGAATTCACCAATGGTACCTTTGACCTTTCGTTTTACAACACTTGCAATAGAAAAATCAACATTTAACATAAAAAGAAATAGGAAAAAAGGAGCGTAGAAAAAATGTCGAAGTAAATTTTTTTTTTTTTGGGTTCAATAATGTCAAACCTCACATTGATCACCTCCAAATATTTAAAGAGTTTTGCTAGGTTACTTGCTTAACATACTCATCATTCATTGGACACCCTCACCTTTACTTTATACTATAAAAACTTTTTGGAGCTGAGACATTTTTTTATCATTGTGATAAGAGCAGTATTTTATAGTTGTTACAAAACAATTAATTCTGTATATCTGATTTATCACACTTTATGGTGCTAATGTCATTCCCACTGTAGTTAATAAGTATTTTTTTTATGAAATTTTTTATTTTTATTTTAATTAATTACTTAAAATAGTATTAGGTAAAAAATTTATTATATTGTGGAATAATGGTATAAGCGTACAAACTTGAGTAGATTAAGGAAATATTCTATGAGAGAAAATAGCCTAACAAAAACCCTATGCAGCACCGTATTGTCACGTAGTCCTACCACTGGCAATTCACCGAGTGAAGGATTTGGTTTGACATCCCAACTTTCAAATCATGTTTATCTTTTTGATTTTTTCTTTTTTCTGATAATGAAACTCATAAAATAGAGTAAATAGTGATTGGGAGGAATCTCATGAAGTGCTTCAAATCAAACAGCAGACCTCTGTTTAAGGGTTTTAAGGCCTCAAATTTTTTTTCTTTTGAAATTTGACTACAATACGATTATAAGACGAGATGAAAGATATCGAGTCATAAAAACCCAAGGAGCTTCCCCTGCAGGCTAAGTTTACAACATGGCCCAGCTAAACCACCACAAACCACCAAGTTCAATTTCTATGTTTTTGAAGGAATTTTATCGCAACACTAGCTATTGTTTCTATTATTAGAAAATAGTGGCATTTAATTTACAATTTCTAACATTATTTAAAGGGTGAGGTTTGTATATGGTCCACTTGTTATACTATAGGGGCGTGTTTGATAACAGTAAGTGTCTTTTTGGAAGTTTAGAACGTCTTAATACTGTTCAAGTTTCTTGTTTGATAAAAAAATTGAACTTCAAATAAAACTTCAAGGAACTGTTCAAGTTCCAATCTTGCTTTAAAAAAAATGTTCCAAGGCAAAGGTTGGAACTTAAACTTGGAACCTTTTTTTATGTAAACCCCCCTATACTATAAATTTATATATTTATTGTAAATATAATATACAATATAATTATTGTATAATATATAATAAGTACGTGG